TCACATGTTGTCATACGAGTAGATTCGGTACGCAAGCCTCTGCAACAGCCTTACGAAGGCCCTTTTCACGTGATCTCTCGTCACGAAAAGACCTTCAAGGTTGATCGATATGGCCGCGTCGAGATCGTCAGCATTGATCGTCTCAAACTAGCACACGTCGATGACAGTGCCCTACCCGATAACTTAAGACCCAGTGCTAGACCCATCAAACCTACTAGCGGGATCTCTACATCTACCTCGGATCCCATGCTAGATACATCAGAGACCTCGTTCTCACGTCCAGATCAGCAGACCACGCCGCCCTTGACCTCGGATGAGATTGCAGGCTCACGAAGTACGAACGAGACTACCGTCCCACGTTCCGGTCGCCGAGTATGATACCCGTACGCTTTCGCGACTAAACGCACAGTCAACAACGGATACGGTGTAGGACTATTCCCATACCACATGCATGCTACAATTTTTTCTCTTTTTTGATTTTTTTTTCGTATCCTAAGCCCACGCCTCCGACCATTGCCCGTTTGGTAACGCCGGCTTCAGTCAACGTTGGCGAAAGCTGGCCTGGCCACCCACGCTCTTGTCAACACACTCAGTCGATAATCTGGTTTCGAATCCGCCTGGTATGTGCTTGGTTTCGCACTTGGTCGTTATGGTCGCTTCCGGTTTCTTGGCTCAACGTGGTTTCGTCCTACGTCTGCAGAGTTTTCTGGTCCGCATCCCTACGAACGCAATCTTCAGATCCTGGATACAAACCACTCCGGTGTGGTATGCTAACTCGAGCAACAAATACAGCACGGTTCTCCTGGTACCATTCTACGTAAAAGACCTTCGTTGACAACTAGGGGATCAACGATTACGTCCTGTTTCGCCAATCCTTCCGTCCTACAATCGCACTTTTGCCGATTAGTCCCACGAATCAAACCGCAACCTATCGAAAGTGTAAAACCTTTCTAGAGGTGGACTCCTGTAGAGACCTACTTTTATCAAGAGAACGCGATTAGTTTAATGGAAACAATCATTATTATAACTAATTGTACCAGTGATTGTTTTACTGTGCTCGTTTATTTAACTGTACTAAAAACAACCATCTCTCTCCTGCATTACTCTTCCGTAGGCTGTGACCTTGTACACTCGTTCTTTCACCCACTAATTCCGCTTGTATTCCTTGTGGCACGATCTCGGTATAATTTCGATACCACGAGATCGCCAACGGATAAATCTGGTTACGATCTTTCTTAGCCTTCTGATTTGTCTGGTGCGAGCTCTTCTTGTAGTGGTGTTCATAGTCGATCACGACTCGACACCACACTACACACCCATCACATTGCATTTCCTCTTCCACAGGGAATAGGCAATATAGCTGTCCACATTTGTGAGCAGAGTCGATCACCTTAAAAATTAACTAAAAATGGTGACATAAAATGGATATGTAAAAAAATCTCAAACTTTAACTAAATAAATCAAGTCCAAGTCCACCAAGTATGCCTTGATGTATTAAATACACAAAAGCAAAATCAAAACACACAATGTCGCTTTAACTGAAATAAATTCAAATAAAGTGTAAACAGTATTTTTAATGCGTAATTTACGATCAAAACAGTAAATTTAACTCAACGAGAATCAATACCACTGTACTTTTTAAATAACGTTCAATTTGCAACTGAGCAAATATTAGAAATTTTCATCGACTGTATATCATGCACTTCCAACTTCTTGAAAGGAACAGTTCGGCATTCTCAACAGCTCTCTTTTCAGACTTGGTATGTTGATTCCTCCAATTAATCGATCTGACAGCTGCACGTGAAGTTGATCATGAAACTGCATTTTGGCAGCTTGTTTTTGCAGTTCAAGGATGAATTCCACAACCTTTCGGTTATTCTGACGAATCATCTTATGAAGATTTTCGCTCTAACGACATTCAAAACTTGTGCACTTTACATGTCTTAATAATAGTTCCTTAAGAGTTCCATGAAGAAGTGAGACAGGCGTTTCTGGATATGCCAAGTTTTTAATAAACTGTAGGCTTCTTTTCTGATGAATGTGAAGAAATGTGCCACAAATTTATCACCCATAACATCTTTCTTGATCATGTTCCGAATTTTAAACCTTTCCAATTAATCTCCAAAAGCTTCAGTAGCTGTATGAATGTCCAACTGTCACATTAAAGACTCGATCGAGACTCCAATATAATAATTAAGAGTATTTGAATTATAGTACAAACTAAGAATCCCAGAAAAAACGAAATTTAATCAAGAAGTACTAAATAAGCATGAACGAATGTATTATATTTAGAATTCGAAATCAGGCATTCATTAAGTACAAAGGAATCGTTAGTTCATACAAACACAACAATAATATCAATACTGTACCTCCCGTACTAATACATCAATTTTGGCATTTTTAATAAATTGTTTGTTGAATTCGTCAGTAAATATTAATAATCTCACCAAAAATTTACTACTTAAAGGACAGTGGTATTGTTTCTCGTTGAGTTACTTAACTGTTTTGAGCGTAAATTACGCATCAAAACTACTGTTTACACTTTAATTGAATCTACTCCAGTTAAAGTGATATTGTATTGAGTGTTTCAATTTTGCTTTTGTGAATTTATTGCATCGAAGCATACTTGGTCGACTTTTACTTGATTAATTTAGTCAAGGTTTTAGTATTCTTTTACATATCGTGTTTGTATCACCATTGTATTCGGTTTTCAAGATGGCCAAATCGGCTCATAAATGTGGACAACCATATTGCTTATTCTCCGTGGAGGAAGGGATGCAATGTGACAACTGCGCATTGCGACGCAGCCGCTGTCAAAGGTTTTCGTGCGTTGTGGTCGCTTCGCCAAGCGTTCAAATCTTTTGACGATGAAATGTTTCGAATTTTATATCCCACCTGTGTAAGACCACATTTAGAGTACTGTATCCAAGCAGCTAGCTGGGCTAGCTAGCCCATGTCTGGTAAAGGATACTAACTCACTTGAGCGTGTCCAGCGTGTGGGAACGAAATTAGTGAAGGGTCTTTCTAAAGTCCCTTACGATGAGCGTTTAAAACGCCTAAACCTTTTCCCCTTGTCGTATCGTAGGACTCGAGGTGACCTCATACTGGCATTTCGTATCTTTAATTATGATTTGGGTGTTAATATGTCTTATCTTTTTGGTCCCTTCAGCACTAATATTCTCCGAGGTCATAGCAAGAAGGTTCATAAACCACGATCTAATAAACTCAAGGTGGGGTTCCGTTTTTCTCATCGAGTAGTCAATGATTGGAACGCCTTGCCCGAACAAGTGGTATCAGCCCCATCAGTGAATATATTCAAGGAGAAACTGGACCTTCACTGGAAGGCAATCTGTTAGGATTAATACAGGTTCACCAACCTACTATCCTTATTACTAAAGACTTATGATCAAAATGCTGACATAATTAGAATGAACTCTGCAAATTTTAAAAAAATAACTAAAATAAAGGTTAACAGAAACTACGTTTAACAGCGTTATTAGTTCTTTATTATGCTGTGATGAAGACAGGTTAGCAGGCCACATAATAGATTTCGATCCTCGCAATCAATTCTTCCACTTAGACATTAGTATCTATAACTGAAGACCTCTGAAGGAGGTAAGTGAATCAAAATATACAGAACACACTCAGTAGGGTTTATCGTCTATGCACCAGTGTGTGTCGCTTCATTAAATTCCTCAAAATGATGTATATCCAGATACTTGATGTGTCCTAATATCCGCTCGTTAATTATCATTGATGTTTCATTACACTTGATGATTAAAATTATCATTAAAATCAATCATAAAACAAAGTGCTCGTTAAGAGAACTTTCAAAATTATGGATGCGTTTAGCCATTGTGTTGCACATCAAGTTTACATAAACAAATTAGGGTTTGTTTTAACGTCAACCGAGAGAAATAAAGTGATTTTAATTGCAAAAGCATTTAATAGAAATAACGCGATCCGTTAGGGTGAGGATGAAACAAAAGAAGACAATTGGTAAGAGTATTATTCACCGTGATCTGTCTCTGCTGCTATATGTGTATTGTAAACGAAAAGCTTTGATGTACAGTTAAGTCGCAGATCTTAGTATGTTTGTTTCTTGACTAGAAGTCATGAATATCAGCAACCGGAAATTAGAAAGTCTCACTAATATCTTTACACCTGTTGAATAAATTGAAGCATGTCTAAATTCAGTGGCTCAGTGGATAATGTGTTTGAGTCCTAAGTGAAAGGTTCAGGGTTTTAGTGCTAGTCTATATGCCAACACTGGTATGAATGGTACAGCAAGGTGACGAATCCCAAATAATACGAAATACATGTTCTGGATTCAGCTGCTAACCACATACCAAATACAGTAAGAAAATCATTTTAAGCAAAATTTGATATTGATTGTTTTGTTTTTACGACACCTACACATCTTGTAGTATATAATCGTAATTTTGATATTCTATAAAGCTCGGAAATTTGTGAGGACTCTATGATGATGACGGAACGCAAAATGTTTGAGCGTTACTTTTCCGGAGAAAGAAATGATAAGGTTCGAACAGGTAGGTAAATGAATTTTTGTCCGCTAAAGTTTATGCTGATAGTGGATTATTTTTAGAAAAAAGAGCAATTGTAAGTTAAATACGTATCTTTCATTCTGCAATACCAAACCCCTATGTTTCGGAAACTAAAAGAAAAAGGAATTCTCATTCGTGTTTTGTTGAATCGTATCTGTTTTGTGAAGTTGACTATATTTTGACTACTTCAAATACTAGTACTTACTTGGAATTACACAATCATTTCCATTGATGTTATTATAGCACACATTTTACCCTTGTGAATGGCATAGTCGGAATTATTTCTGTGAGAATTTCACAGAAAAGCAAGAATCCTTTAGATGCATTTTAGAGAGTGTTTATTTAAATTTTATTCCAGCCAATGAGACAGTCAAATTCCTAATGACCAATTAGGTTATACATATGGTTGCTATATAAATATACTCATCCATCAGTATGGTTTATTTAATTATTTCAAATAGAACTGTGGAAATGAAGATTCTTTCAGTAAGTTAGATTCATTATGATTTATACAACTGAAAACTCTACGTAATACAATCCATCATATTTTTCTTAAATATTTCTGTCCATTCCACTAACAATGCAAATCAAGTCAGTGATATCATGGTAATTTAATTGTATACGGTAACAATTAGTTATCAATACAAATTGAAGGGAATTACCTGAAGTCATGAAACGTGAGGAATTGATACTACACCCAATATAATGTTACAAATATGTTATTTTTATCATTCGTAGAATCACATTATTTGATCTCTGTCATTTCGTTGCTCAATCCGTTTAAATTCTTTCTTAGGTTTTCGGTATTATAATAACTTATATCTGTGCAGTAACGTTCGGAGCTAAAAGTCTTCAGCGATGTAACAAAGATTTTGAGGCAACGATGGAATTTTGTTTCCAAGGGAATATAGGTTATTCAAGTGAGTGTTGGTAACAGATTATATAGAACTACAATATCAATACTTATCATCAATTCACAATGTCTAATGAAGAAATTATTGTTTTTTTCAACGTATTTTTATGCAAGATTTGTTAATTTGAAAGTGTCATCTAAACAATTTTGTGCATGACTATGAGCGTGCGTTTGATTCACTTTCAAGTAACTAGTTTCTTATCATAATGATTTTAGTATGTCAAGTTAGAGTTGTCATGCAGTTGGGAGTAAAACACCATATCTCATTACCCTACAGTGAACATAGAGAGTTTCAAAACTGTTCTACAACATAGAGTTTACTGCTTGATGCACTATAGCAGTTTGTAACTGTACTGACGATCATAAATTTGAGCGTATTAACAAATATGGTCAATGTGAATCTTAAAATTCGCTGCATATACCTGTTACGTGCAACTACTTTTCTATAAATAAGTTCTCGAAGCAATTAAAGATATAGTTAAATTTTAAAATTAAATTATATTATATTTCATAATTAAATAAAAGAGAATGTCCATCATCATCCACTTCAAGGAAAGTTTTCTGCTATCATACACTATTGGCGTCCCATTGTGATTATCACCATCATAACAACATTATTTTATGTATGAACGAACGTTTATTAAAAATTATTCCAATTCCTATACTACTGAAATGATTTCTCAGTTTTATCATTGTGTATATGAAGACATGTCGGTTGAAATAATTTTTCATCTGTTAATTTGACTGTGCATTACCGGAAATTATGTTAACTTGATTATTTTATAACTTTGTTAGTTTTCCTAAACAGAGTTCTATCGAACTAATCGCTTTCGTATAAATGATTCTTTATGCAAGTTAACTAATCCCTGTTCCAGAAGATTATTTAAGTCACATTTACATCATGATGGAAATCCATTCAATGTAACCATTACTTTATACATGAAACAATATGATGAAAACGAATAACAGAACTCTTATGTAAGGATTTGTTATTATTTTGTTATTCTTATTCGTAGGTCATTTTTATTTATCCGTATGGTTTATATCATGTCTTTTGAAACGTCATTGTTTGTCTCTTTTTGTTTAGAAAAGTTCACGGACTTAAAGAGTTTGCGAAATGGTTGTATGAGTGATAGAAATTGCAAACCTAAAGCAAAGAATTGTCTTCTATCAGCACTTCAAGGTCCGGCATTCAAATACTGTGCTTTACAAAGAACCTACATAAAATCAATAAGTCGTATGTTCTGATAAACATCTGGCGATCTCTTAGTCTATTATTTGAAGTTTTAATGTACAGATAAATAAAGTATTTATTATTTTAACTGTAATTTTTCGAAACAACAATTACGGATGATAAATTATAAACAATGGCTTCACCAAATTTTAGTGAAATAAAGCTGGATTAATTGTTAATCATTTGTAAAAATTTCAGGTTATCTATTTGATAATTTCCTTAAAATGAATGTCTAAAAGTCTGGCTACTAAGCGCCAAATGTTCAACTCAAACCTTATCGGACATGTTTGACGCATATTCAGTCTGCTCTTCTTTCTGTCCAACTAGTGTAACTGATTTATCAGTTGCATGCAAATCGATGCATACTGTTTGGAGTATTTTGAGAAGGGCACCTGTCGAACATTACTACATCAGTGCCCATACTGATTCATGTAAGATGACTAACATAAATAAGGAGTAGCTCTCAACCAGTGTAGCGCTTCAATTTTATTAGTATAGTATAGCAAGGGAATAAATAAATTTAACAAACTGAATAAAATATTGTGAATGTACATCTTACTTAAAAAAACATTCTACAACATTCATAGTAATAAAGGACCTAAAGGATTGAAACAAGTGGTTACGGAAACAACAAACACTGATAACAAGTACGAAAAAATGAGTCAAGCACACTTAGTTGATATACGTTTACTAATCCAGAAGACGGTCGAAATAAAAAGACGCATTGATGTAATTAATTACAGGAAAGAGTTGAACAAAATTTTACGATGTAATGGAGGAATATTTGTCATGAAAGCAAAGAAAGACTAACAACCATCTCCTCTTGAATACATAAATCAGGTGTATAACACCTGATATCAGTGGAATCGGTAGACTTCGGAAGACCGGTAACTGGGTGTTTACTAATCACCTTGAAATATTGTAAGCTGTTGGTTGACTTGATGTACTATGTCCAAGAGATGTTTGGTAATCGCACTGCTGAAATTAGTTCTCCTCTTGTTCGAAAGCTTTTGGGAACATATTCGAAAGATCTAAGATATGTCTGCCATTCAGCCAATCAGCTAGTGCAGCTGTTTTGACAGATACATGTAAATTGATGAACACTGTTGGAAGTAAAATAACATTATAACTAACTAGAGAAAAACTATTGAAATCCAGATAAACACTTTTCCAAGTACATTCTGATAAGCCAAATGTTACACCGTCCCATCTTCCGTTTGTTGTATTGCAATTTTACGAAAGTAAAACATGTGGTTGTTTTCGTGTTCCACAGTAAATTGTGTGTTGGGACGAGCACTGTTAAAGTATGCTAACAGGTGTATTGCATGGTGTTTGTTATCGTACGCAACAAAAGTATCATCAACACGCTTGGAGTATTTCGTCATTTCGTTAATTGCTTGTTTAAACTCCATGTTTTCAAGGTGATCCTTAAAAATATCTGCTATGATTTGACCTAATGCACTTTCCATTGGCACACTGTCAATTTGATGGTATGTAGTGTTATTGAACTGGAATTGAATGAATTCTGTGAACATGAGTGAAATCTGTTTCAACTGTGACACTAGCGAAATTAGGAGGAGAGAATTCTGACAAATTATATCAATAGTTTCAAGAAGTGGTATTTCAGTAAACAGGAATTTTACATCAAAAGATACCATGGACTAACCAACAACATCCATCCGATTTAGTTTGTCAGCGAATTAGAATGAATCTCTAAACATAAATGTTGCTAATCTCTGACGGACCGGTTCCATCTTATCTGCTAGCCAGTGAGAAACCTTGTGACATGATGAATTATTCACTGACTGAATAGGTCTAAGGAGGACAACATGTTTGTGTACTTTTGGTAGATGTGAGTCTCGAGGTTTTTGAACATCCTAAGTAGAATTACAATGATTTTGTAAATAAGAAGTTCTTCAGACACACTTGTGATTCACTTTTCTGTTGAATCAGATAATGCTTGTTAAATGTATGTACCTCTAATCTCTAATGATTGTTTAGGATTGACTTTATCTTGGAGATGTATTCAGCTGTGTTCATTAGTTTCAGTAGCTTTATTCTTTATTTATATTAATCTCATCTAAAATATGACGAGAAATAATAAATACTCCTTTTACTCATTTAACAAATTACTTAGACGTATGTTCCCCTAACTCCGTACTAGAATTTTTTGAATAACTTCGTTAAACAAATAGCACATGGATTTTTGACAGCTTCCAATTAACAGTAAATATTGGAATAGATTAAGTGACATGACCAAGTGAATTGTCGTAAACACCTTACGTTATAAATCAGGATTATAGTTTCGCCGAAGGTAAAACTAAGGCTTTTATTTAAACTGCCTGTTGATTTCACATTGTGAACTGAAATTTTTAAAAATTTATTCATATACTATCACCCAAATATTATATAAAACTCACCTACTTACTTACGTCTGTTACCCCTCATGGAGAAGTATAGGCCGCTCAAAAGCATTCGCCATCAAACTCTGTCCCGGGCAATCCTTTTCAGTTGTTTGCAGTTGCCATTCATCCTTTTCATGTCTGCTTCCTATTCTCTGCTCAGTGTGTTTTTTGGCTTTCCTGTTTTCTGTTTTTCCTCCAGGATTTCAAGTTAGCACTTTTTTTGTGATTCAGTTCAATGATTTCCTCAATGTAAGTCCCATCCACTTCCAACATCATTTCGTAATTTCTTCTTCGGACGGAAGTTGGTTTGCTCTCTCCCATAGTAGGCTGATTAGATAACACAGAAGCCAATAAATTATTTCATATGATTTGATATTGTTCACTGAATGAATATTCGAACACGTAGCAGGTATATGCAGATTTGAAATATCTAAATATCAGTGAACAACAAATATGAGCATAAAACATGTGAAATGAATTTTCCTAATTAATGAATCACTTTAACGTTTAAGACCAATAGTGATATGTTTGTCTGAATACATCAGCTTAGTTTACCTGGTTAAGAATAATGTATTTGAAATGGAATAAATATGAAAAACTTAAAATCTTCGAATATGTATGAATATACATACTAATTTTGATTTTTTTTTGTGGGAAAATCTTGCTGCTAAATAATTTTTTTTGTTGCTTTAAGGAGTTTTACGAAATTGCTAACGTAGCACATTAACCGCCTGATATTGAATAAACTCAATGGATTTTGTATTAAACAGAAGAAAACTGTACTACTGCTTATATAAGTGCACACTTATGGCATAGAGGAAATGGAAACATCAAATTAAGAACATTTTCTGGAAAACAGTAATATAAGTTTTCATCATCCCTCCAGATGAAGTTGTTTCATAATTTCTATGGCATTCTTTTATGCAGACGCTTAAGTCTATATCCACATATATTGATCACAATACTGAAAAATAGATGTGTAGAGTATCATGTTTCCTTTAGAATCAAACCTATCTCCATAAAAAACAAAGAAATGGTCTGATTTAGTGAGACAGTACTGATAGGTTCTTTCAAATTAATAAGTAATGGTAGTGTTCATTAATATACTGTCATTTGAGTAAATATTCAAAACATCTGAACAGCTTAGTCTAAGTCATGCTTATGAGAACTTTTAGAGACTGGCCTTTCTGTCAAAATGTAGTAGACCGATAGATCCTGATTCCGAATCTCGCAAGGCGGGATCGTGGATGTGCACTACCGAGGAGTCCCACCATAGAACGAAACAACATTCCAGTGCTTCCCGGTTTTCCATGGTGGTCTATTGAAATTATTACATATCAGTCAATCATTTCATAATTGGCTTAATTTACTATGTGATTGCATATTTAGTTAATACAATAAAGAATTTTGTTTGATTTATGAAATTATTTTACACGAACCTGTAGATACGAATTCCATAATTGTAGGTCGATGTCTTAATGAATTGTTTAACGAAAAATCACATGACGAAATACTATACCTTTTTCTTCCTACCTGTCTCTACCAGGTATCTTCTATCTTATTATATTTTTCTTTGTCCAATCATTTTCGGATCTAAAAGTTTTCAATCATGTAATGAAGAACTGGGAGGAACAATGAGAATTTGTTTTAAGCATAGGTTAAGAAAGGTAAGTGTTGATATTTTGTTGTTTCAAATCTACATTTTTGTATTACATAGGAGTATAAAATAAAACAACATTTGTTAATATTGCCTAATCCAAGGTTTAATGCAAGTGAGAAAATTGGTTATTATCTCACGAGAATAGTGGAAGTAAAACTTGTAGTTCAGCTTATAAAACATGTCACTTGATACTTTAACATATATGCCCTCTAAAGCTAGAAGACAACCCTGAGGACATGATAAGTTCAGTGATTTCGGAATCCACATGTTATGTTTTAGTTGCCCGAAATCTGACTTCAGTTAGATCGTTTCTGATTGTTATCGAAATATACATGTCGTCAATCCTCGCATATAATTATCGACTTAAATCGCGTTAGTGAATAACAGAATTAAATAAATCAAATGCGAGAATGGATTTTTGGATGCATATATTTCGTACAATTGTTGATCGGTAGGCGAAACAAGACGAAATGATGTGCAATGAAGAAGGTGAGTGAGCCAACTCAATTTAGCTAAGCATTAATCGACATTTAGTCAGACAAAAATAAGTTACAGATATGTGATGAATAAGATAGGAAATGCACACACATACGCTTGCATAAAAACAGTCAAGTTTGATAAGTGAATAAGTGAGAAGGTCAAAATGTAGCTTGAGAAAAATTGATGAGTCAGTTTGTCTAGGAGCTGAAATAAGCTATGTAGGCTTGACATAGGGCCAGCCACTGCAGAGCCCCCCTGTGGAAAGCAGCATATTAATTTAAAAACATCTTTTTTCGAATACTTCACGGAAGTCGTATGCGGTCAACATTATGAAGTAGCGAGAAAATTGTAATATATCTGATAGAGTACAGTGTCGTGTGAAGGGTGAGTGTATTGTACGAAAGTGTCACACTTATGTAAAAAAGCAAATGATTATCGTAAAGACGCGGACAAAAATGGAAATGCTAGC